AGGTCAGGAGATCGAGACCATACTGGCTAACACAGTGAAACCCCATCTCTACTAAAAATACAAAAAATTAGCCGGGCGTGGCTGTGGGCGCCTGTAATCCCACCTACTCAGGAGGCTGAAGCACAAGAATCACTTGAACCCAGGAGGCGGAGGTTGCAGTGAGCCGAGATTGCACCGTTGCACTGTAGCCTGGGCGACAGAGCAAGACTCTGTCTCAAAAAAAAAAAAAAGTAAAACTAAACAAATTGGAGGAAAAGGAATCCCAACATTTAGGTCAAACTAGCCTCTTCTGAGATGGCCCAGCAGGAGCCTGTATCTGGGAACTGGCACGCTGGCCTCACTGCAACACACTCACCTGTGTGTAGTGGGTGCAGGTGGCATTGCGGGCACACTCCCCTGCCGCATGGCTGTACCGCTGCCCCTCTGCAAACCACAGGCTGACCACTTCGACAAAGGACGCTGAGCCCGCGGGCAGCAGCTGCACGTTCCAGCCCACTTGCAAGGTGCGCCACGGGGCGGACGCCAGGCTCGGGGTTGGGGTTCCACAGAGGGCTGCCCTGGCTTGAGCCAGTTGGGCCAGGCTGTCACTCCAGTCCTGGGGGAAGCACAAACAGAGACATCTGTGGGAGGCCTTTGACTGCTGGGCCAGGCCTCCCCTACCATCTCTGAGCATCCACCGGGTGCCAGGTCAGGAGGCAAAGAGAGCACTGGATGAGGAGTCCTGCTGGAGGAAGCAGTGGTGGTGTCTGATGCTCGTCCAGGAGGAGCCCGGCCTCTCAGGACTGAGCCTCCATCTCTGAATCCTGTTGTGGGCATCCTTCAGCCCTGCCCAGGCAGTGGGATGGGCTCCTGCTGTCTTTCTCCCATCTGGTCATGTGAGCAGTGCCCACGCCTTACAGACTGGTTCTGTGTTTGGGCCCTGGCCGTTGTCAGAAAGGCTCCCCTACTCCCACTGGGCCATGCTGCCCTCCTGTGATGCAAAACGCCCTACAGCCACGCCTCTCCGCCCTGGTCTCCTGTCCCCGTACCTGCCTCATCGGCTCCCTACCACGCACAGCTGACCCCGCCCCCTCCCTCTTCTTTTTTTTTAAGACAGAGTCTCACCCTGTTGCCCAGTCTGGAGTGCAGTGGAGCAATCTCGGCTTACTGCAAACTCCGCCTCCCAGGTTCAAGCGATTCTCCTGCCTCAGCCTCCCGAGTAGCTGGGATTAGAGCCATGTGACACCACATCTGGCTAATTTTTGTATTTTTAGTAGAGACAGGGTTTCACCACGTTGGCCATGCTGGTCTCAAACTGCTGACCTTAGGTGATCTGCTTGCGTCAGCCTCCCAAAGTGCTGGGATTACAGGTGTCAGCCACCGCGCCCAGCCCCCTCCCTCTTCTTAAACAAGGGGCCTGGCAATCGCCACCCCTGGGTGACCTGCTGCAGACCCCTGATCTCCCGAGACTCCCTGAGCTCATCTGTAAATGGAGCAGGGACGTGCCTGTAGGATAGAACTCAAAAGCACTGAGTGGGTGCAGGGTGGGGGGGCCCTCAGGGCTGCACCCCAAGCCGACTTTGCCCTGCACTAATGTCCATTGGGGTTTTACCTCTGATGAAGGCTCCCCGGGGTCCCTCAGCAACCCCACACCTCCATAAGACCTTCAGTCTCCACTGTGTCCAGAGAAGGAGTGCCCCAGAGCCCTAGAGGCCCGGAGGGTGCTTGGGGCCGGGCCATGAGGGAGGCTGAGACATGGAGCTCCATTTGCACCTTTATGGAAATGAAGTTTTCTAGGACTTTGACAAAAGGGCCCTGAAAAGGGTGCCAACTGCCAGCCATTGACTGCCGCAGGCCCTCCTGGGGTCCCAGGCAGGAGTATCCACCACGGAGGTCACAGCCGGGAGCAGCCCTGGCGGCACAGGGTCTGAGCCTGAGGAGCGGCAGAGCCGCTCAGGGCGGGGAAAGGGAGAGGCGACCTCCCCCATTTAGCCACCCCACCCCCACCTCCTGGGAAACACCCTAGAGTGCTCAAGGACGCCACCGTGGCCGCCTGCCTCGGAGGAGTTCATGGGAAGCAGCCATGGGGAACCCTCCCGCCCCCACCACCCTGCCCTGGCTTCCTGGCCTGCTAACATGGGCTGGGGCTGCTGGGGTCCCAGACAATGGGGGGCAGCGTTTCTGAGCCCCCAGATGACAGCCCCAACCCAGCAGCCCCAGCCGGGCTGGTGGAGAACACTATACCCCCGATCCCCGGCCCCTGCTGAAAATGTGGACGACTGAGTGAGCAGAGAACATGGGCAAGGCCTGTCCTAGTGGCTCAGATAAGCTCAGGAGGAGGCGCTGGGTCCTTGCACAGAAGCGCCTCCCCAGCCCAGCAGGACCCTCTCCCTCCCTGGCCCGCCTGCCCTGCAGGGGTCCTTCCCTGGAGGAGGGGATCCGGCTCCTCCAGCGGCTCCTGGTCTCCGTGGCAACAAGATGCCAGGAAAGGCCCAAGGTCCTGCCCTTCAGGCAAGTGGGAGCCAAGGGGCCCGACCTCCTGAACTGAGGTGGGGGGTTAAGAAGTTGCAGAGACCTCCAGCAACCAGGACCTTGGTCCCTCAGGGCCAAAGTGCCTGGCTGTGCCTTCCCACCCTGGTCAAGTGGAAGAGTGCCTGGACAGGCGTGGCCTCCCGAGCTGCCCTCTGGGGTCTGTGCCTCCAGCCGCCCCCCTGGCAGAGCCCAGCTGGGTCTGGTACTCACCAGCCTCCGCATGTCAGCCGCAGGGGGCTGGACCCAGCTGCGCAGGCGGTTGTGCAGGGAAAGGAGCAAGAAACTCTCCTTCCTGTTCAGGGCTGGGGTGGGGAGAGAAGGGAGTTCTTTCCGTTCTTAGGCAGCCCGAGGATGGGGGCACCTGGACCCACCACAGCAAAATAAGCACGGCCTCGGAAAACAAGATGGGAGAGGAGTATGGTGGGTGCAGGGGACAGGGGGCACAGCGATGCAGCCAGGCTGAGAGAGAGACCAGGTACAGCAGGCGTGGGCTGAGTGCTGGGGTCGGGGTGGCAGGAGGGAACAGGGGTGGGGGCTGGGTGTAGGGGGGCCAGCCCTGGCTCCCAGCAGGCCCCTGTCTGGGGCTCCTCTGGGCCACAGAGTTTCTCCAGGCCCCAGCCACAGACTCCCTCGGGCATTCCTCCTTGACCCCAGCCCTGGCCCCCTTCCTCCTCCTCCCTCCCCAGTCCAGCATCCACCCCTCACCGCCCCAGGCTGTCCCAGGGCTTCCTCATTAAACCACCTGCAGGACTGGCCTGGGGCTCAGGCTTCCAGAAGTCTCCTAGCACCCACTCCACCGAGCTCCTCACCAGGTGTCCCTTACCTCTGGCCATCGGAGCCTGCTCCTGTAGCTGGGGTAGCCACACCTCTGCCCAGGTGATGCCAAAGAAGGCCAGGAGCACAGCCAGGATGTGCCCCCGGCCAGGCGAGGTCTCCAAATGCAGCATGGGGCTGTTGGGCCTGTCAGGCACTCCGAGCACAGCCTGGCTCAAACACCCGACTTGTTTCTCAGGCTGGATGGAGCTATTCACAATCTCCAGGAGTCAGGCCGGGCTGGTGGACAAAAGAGGGAGGCTGGTGAGTGAGTAATCAGTGTGTCCAAACAGCCTCCTGTTGGCGCTGGCATGAAAAGAGACTCCGGGGGATGCCTGCCTGCTCTGGCCTCAGCCTGGCCAGCCCGCCCCCGACAGCAGGCAGAGTGGCGTGCACTGACCCCGTGGCCCCTGCTAATCATTGTAGGATTATTAGCGCCCTTGGGGAGCCCCCAGAGACCCCGCTGATTGGCCCACAGACATTCCAGGGCTGCGGATTAGTGACCAACGGCTGTGTCCTGGCTGGGACAGTGTCCTCCGAGCCCACTGATGGCTTCCACTCCCCAGTCCTGGGCCCTGGGAGGAGGCTGGGACCTCAGCTATGGTCCTTCTGGTGAGCAGGAACTGGGCAAGACCCCAGGGGAGTTCTTTCCTTTCTCAGGAAGCTCGTCCCAACCCCCCAGCCATGAATTAAACATAGGCAAGAGGTAACCGCACACCAGAGAGGTGCGATCTGTGGGCCTGAAGAGGGGTGGGCTGAGGCCGCACCTGTGCTAGGAAAAGGGTGCCTTAGGAAAGTCTGTCTGGGCAGTGTCGGGGGCTGGGCCCAGCCCTGGTGCCCACTACCTTCACCCACATGACTATGGGCCATGGGGGAGTGAGGCAGGAGGAGTCAAGGCAGGCGGGGACCGGAGCACGTGATGCCCTTGGCTGACTCCAGTCCTGCTCAGATCAAGTCTGCTTCTAGACAGGCGGCGTAGCAGGAGGGCAGCACCTTGCCATGATGTTCCGTGGCCCAGCCGTGGTTGGCATGATCCCACCAGAGTGAGCTGGAGCAGATCTGCACCGTGGGCCACGTTTCTCAGAAAATACAGGGCTGTCCTGTGGGCCGCAGCCTAATGCCCACATTCCTCTCGGGGCAGATCAAAGGTTATTCAACCAGGTCACAGCCTTGCAAACCAACTACGTCCTCCTTCTGGAGTTTGTGTGATCCCTGGCCCGAGCCCGCACCTTCTCGGAGCGGGGTTCCAACTCCGTGGAAGCTCCGCTGAGATGCAGGTAGGGTTGGCTTTCCTGGGGAAACACCAGTGGAATGCGGCTATCGTCATGGGTGCCAGGGATGCGGGCGAGGCCAGGCATACAGGACGTGCAGGCAGTCTGGAACTGCGTGTCCCCCACGATACCTAGGGGCTCAGGAGTTTCTTCTCCCTCAAACAGAAACCCAGCACCCTCAGGGTCACCGCATGCGGGTCCTAGCATTGCTTAGTAGTTACCTGTTTTTTGGTGTATTTTTACTTTTTAGACAGTCTCACTCAGTCACTCAGGTTGGAGTGTTATAATCTCAGCTCACTGCAGCCTTGACCTCTTGGGCCCAAGTGATCCTCCCACCTCAGCCTCCCAAGTAGCTGGGACCAAGTGTGTGCCACCATGCCTGGCTTATTTTTTAATTTTTTTGGTAGAGACAGGATTTCGTCGTGTTGTCCAGGCTGGTCTCCAACTCCTGGGCTCAAGCGATCTTCCCACCTTGGCCTCCCAAAGTGCTGGGGTTACAGGCATGAGCCACCACACCTGGCCATGCCACCTGTGTTTATCGAGCTCACAAAACCTGTTTGCATGTGTGAGATCAATTATTGAACTAAAGCCTGTTTGCATGTGTGAGTTCAATTATTGCCACAAGAACCCGGTGCAGTAGCAGGTGGGACGCCCGTCGTGGAGATAAGGAAATGGGCTCAGTGTGTCTAAGGGGCTTGTCCAAGGTCACTCAGCGAGGGCATGGAGCATCCCAGCTAATCCAAGGTCTCTGCCTTCCCATTCCCAATGCTTTAGTTCACATCCTGACCTTTCTCAGTGCACTTTCCACAGCTCTGCTGTGCCGGGTAATAAAAGACCCACTTCCTCCTCTTGGGCTTCCATGGCAAACATGGCCAGTTGACCCACATGGTATGATGCCAGGCACTTGGGACAGGTGGGAGAAAAATATATTTTGGGGATTGGGGGGAGCAACTTTTGAAGGGCTCCATGGCCCTGGCTTACTGCAAGAAGAGTCCCAGGCCGGGCACGGTGGCTCATGCCTGTAATCCCAGAACTTTGGGAGGCCAAGGCAAGCAGATCACTTGAGGTCAGGAGCTCGAGACCAGCCTGGCCAACACGGTGAAACCCTGTCTCTAGTAAAAATACAAAAATTAGCCGGACAGGGTGGTTTAGCTGTAGTCCCAGCTACTCAGGAGGCTGAGGCAGGAGAATTGCTCGAATCTGGGAGGCGGAGGTTGCAGTGAATCAATATGGCACCACTGTACTCCATCCTGGGCGACAGAGCGAGACTCTGTCCCACCCCCAACCCCTCAAAAAAAAAAAGAGTCCCAGGAGAGCAAGGTTCATGAGCCAGAAGAGAAGCTGAGTGGATAAAAGATTAATGAGACACTGGAAGGCCTAGGCTGGAACCGACACGCTGTGTGACCCTGAGGATGGCACTCCCACTCCTGAAACTCAGTATCCAATGGTGTAGAGCTAGGATGACCCCTCTGCTGGGCCCCTAACCAGGGCATCGCAACTTGGTTTCCGAGGTACTTCCTCCTGGGCCCAGACTTTTTACTGCAGCCTGCTTGGTGGCCAGGGTGGGTCTGGAGAATGGGCAGCCTCGTTCTTGCAAGGCAGCTTTCCCCAGGTGAGGCTATTACAGGGTTTACATCCGCCACCCAGACTGTAGGATTTCACATTTTGCTATATTTTCTTTATCACCTGTGTCTCTATCTATCCCGCCCCTCTCCAGCTCATGTACAGTTGATACCTCTTCGCCCAGTCTGCACTTGAAGGTTATAGCGGTCAAGTCATTTTGTCTCTTCCTGAAGCCAGCTCCTTTCTTTAAAGCCTTGAAATCTTGTTGATGGTCTCCAAAAACAAAACAAACAAACAAACAAACAAAAAACACGAAACAAAACAAAACAAAACAAAAAACCATTCAACTCTAGGAGAGTTGTGGCCACATTTTCTTCTAAAAATTATAGGTCCAGGCCAGGCATAGTAGCTCACACCTATAATCCCAGCACTTTGGGAGGCCAAGGTGGGTGGACTGCTTGAGCTCAGGAGTTTGAGACCAGCCTGGGCAGCATGGTGAAACCCTGACTCTAAAAAAAATACAAAAAATTAGCTGGGCGTGGTAGCATGTGTCCATAGTCCCACCTACCTGGGAGGCTGAGGTGGGAGGATAGCCTGAGCCGGGGAGGTCAAGGCTGCAGTGAACTGTGATCATGCCACTACACACCAGCCTGGGTAACAGACCAAGATTCTGTCTCAAGAAAAAAAAAAAAAATTAGACCAGGTGCAGTGGCTCACGACAGCAGTACCAGCACTTTGGGAGGCCGAGGTGGGCAGATCACCTGAGGTCAGGAGTTTGAGACCAGCCTGGCCAACATGGCAAAATCCTGTCTCTACTAAAAATACAAAAATTAGCTGGGTATGGTGGCACACACCTGTAACCCCAGCTACTTGGGAGGCTGAGGTATGAGAATCACTTAAGCCCAGGAGACAGAGGTTGCAGTGAGCTGAGATCACACCACTGCACTCCAGCCTGGGCAACAGAATGAGACTCTAAAAAAAAAAAAAAAAATTCGTGTCTATTTAATTTTTTAATTTTTCTCGAGATGAAGTCTGGTTCTGTTGCCCAAGAAAAGAAGAAGAGGGAGTGCAGTGGCACAATATCGGTTTACTGTGACCTCTGCTTCTGGGGTTTGACCTCCACATCCCAGGCTCAAGCCATCTTCCTACCTCAGCCTCGTGAGTAGCTAGACTGTGGGTGTGCACCACCAGACCCAGGTAATTTTTTTTTTTTTTTTTTTGAGACGGAGTCTTGCTCTGTCACCCAGGCTGGAGTGCAGTGGCGCCATCTCGGCTCACTGCAAGCTCCGCCTCCCGCCTTCACGCCATTCTCCTGCCTCAGCCTCCCGAGTAGCTGGGACTACAGGCGCCCGCCACTGCACCCGACTAATTTTTTGTATTTTTAGTAGAGACGGGGTTTCACCGTGTTAGCCAGGATGGTCTCGATCTCGTGACCTCGTGATCCTCTCGTCTCGGCCTCCCAAGACTCAGGTAATTTTTGTATTTTTAGTAGAGATGGGCTTCACCATGTTGCCCAGGCTGGTCTCAAAGTTCAAGCTATCTGCTGGGATTACAGGCGTAAGCCACCACACCCAGCCCCAAATTAGTATGTTGAAGTTCTAACTCCATTACCTCCGTGTCACTGTATTTAGAGATAGGGTCTTTAAAGAGGTAATTAAAGTTAAATGAGGTCATTGGGGTGGGTCCTGATCCAACCTGACTGGTCCCGTTATAAGAAGAGACACACAGAGGGAAGGTCCCGTGAAGACACAGGGAGAAGGCAGCTGCAGACAAGCCAAGGAGAGAGATCCTCAGAGGAAACCAACCCCCCCGCACCTTGATCTTGGCCTTTATGCCTCCTGAGAAAATACATTCTGTTTTTTAAGCCACCCAGCATGTGGTACCTTGTATGACAGCCCTAGCAAATGAACACAGCCCTTATGAAAAACGTACAGCTAATATCACACTTAACAGTGAGACCAAAGACTTTCTTCCCTAAGATCAAAACAAGGCAAGGATGTCTTTCCTCACCGGTCCCACTAAACATTGTACTACTGAATGTGCAATGTGTGCATTAATTAACAAAAAGACATTAAAGGCATCCATACTGAAAAGAAAGAAGTAAAACTGTCTTCATTTGCAGATGATATAATTCTACTGTAGAAAATCCGACGGAATGTTTTAAAAAAAAAAACCCTACTAGAATAAAGGTCTCACAATACAAAATTAACACACCAAAATTCACTGCATTTCTATAAACTGGCAATAAACAATCCAAAAATGAAATTGAGAAAACAGTTCCACACATGGCCAGGCACAGTGGGTGACATCTGTAATCCCAGCACTTTGGGAGACCGAGGTGGATGGATTGCTTGAGGTCAGGAGTTCAAGACCATCCTGGTCAACATGGTGAAACCTCATCTCTACTAAAAATACAAAAAATTAGCCAGGTGTGGTGGAGGGCAACTGTAATCCCAGCTACTCAGGAGGCTGAGGCAGGAGAATTGCTTGAACCCGGGAGGTGGAGGTTACAGTGAGCCA